ATCTCAATCTGTTCACCGTCTATCATGATGCTGCCAATTGGCCCAGTGGTGAGAATCTTTGTTTTCTTGATGTTGAGCTTAAACCCATATTGAAGGCTGCAGTCCTTGACCTTCTACAGCAAGCACTACAGGTCCTCCTCAGTTCCAGCAAGCAAGGTTGTGTCATCTGCATAATGCAGATTGTTGATGAGTCTCCCTCCAATCTCGATGCCGTATTTCTCCTCATAGAGCCCAGCCTCCCGGATAATCTGTTCCGCATATAGATTGAAAAGGAATATAGCTAGGACACATCCTTGACATACATCCTTCCCAATTTTGAACCATGCACTGTTTCCTTGCTCTGCTCTCACGACTGCCTCTTGGTCCAAGTATAGGTTTTGCATAAACACAATCAAATGTTCTAGGATTCCCATTCTTCTCAGAGTCAGCCAGTTTTTTGCCTTTGCATAGTCAATGAAGCACAGATAGACATTCCTCTGGTACTCTCTGCCTTCAGCCAAGATCCATTTAACATTAGCTATAATATCCCTAGTATCACAGCCTCTTCTAAACCCAGCCAGAACCTCCGGCAGTTCTCTGTTGATGTGCTGTTCCAGTGGTTTTTGGGTAATTTTCAGCAAAATCTCACTTGCACGTGATACTAATGATATTATTCAATAATTTCTGCACTCTGTTGGGTCATCTTTCTTTGGAATGGGAATAAAGATCTCTTCCAGCCAGTTGGCCAGATGGTTGTCCTCCACATATCTTGACACAACTTGGTGAGCACATCCAGGATAGCATCTGTTTGTTGAAATATGTCAATCGGTATGCCATCAATTCCTGGGGCCTTGTTTTTTTGCTAATTCTTTCAGAGCAGCTTGTACTTCTTCCTTCATCACCACAGACTCTTGCTCACACATTAATGAAAGTCTTCTGTGTCTGCCAATTCCTTTTGGTATACTCTTTCCATCTTTTTTTAATGCTTCCTGGATCATTTAATATTTTGCCTAAAGCATCCTTCAATATTGCAAATCGAGGTTTGAATTTGTTCTTCAGTTCCTTCAGCTTAAGAAAAGCTGAGCGAGCTCAGCCCCTTTTGATTTTCCGACTCCAGCTCTTTGCATATTTCACTTAAAATATTTCATTTTGTTAGCTACAAGGGACAAGATTCTGCTATACACTCTGAGAAATAGAAAGACGCTCTCGAAATGGTTACTCTCAATTAAATTGCTGAACAAAGCAAAGACAGTGGGCTGCTAAGAGCTTGAACAAATGAGATTAAGAACTGGCATATTCTCTTAAAATTAATAATTAGACATGATCAAAGAGGCCTCAAGAAGTAACCATGTTGTCATTGTGTGAATTAGAATCAATTCACAGCTGACCTTCCAGCAGATTTTCAGAGGCAGTAAATTATACAACAGGAAAATGATGATTTTTCTCTTGAAGAGCAGCTGGTAGATTCGAACCATGTGCCTTTAGTATGGCAACATAGCTCCTTACCACTAGCACTCCCATAGGAGGACAAAATAAGGAATCACTTAGTCAGATCTCAAATTTTTGGCTAATTAATTTGTATAGAGTCAGAACCAACACATAGCTGACCCTCTGTCAGTTTTTCAGAGATAATTAATCACACAGGAGAAGACTGCCCATCTTTCTACAGTGGAGTGACTGGTGGCCTTGAACTGTGAGCTTTTGGTTTGCAGTATTAATAATACTTTCTCAAAAATTACATTATCTTTATCGTCAGGTGCTGTCAAGTATGACTCATAGCAAACCTATGAACAAAACATCTGAACCCTGTTCTATCCTGTGCCATCCTCACACTTCCTGACACAAGAGCTCATTTTATCTTTATGATAAATTATATTTATGATATGAACAAAATTTATTCATATTGTGAAAATGTAACCATCGAAAATTTGGACTTTATGAAGAATGAAGAATGTAGCATAAGGACCAGAGGAAGACTCATCAACAACCTGCATCATGCAGATGACACAGTCTTGCTAGCTGAAATGAGGACTTGAATGGCTTGCTGCAGAGGACCAAATACGATAGCCATCAATGTGGGTTATCACAACATTTAAGTCCTCACCACCAGGCCAATCTTCAAGATAGATGACAGATAAGGAAGAGATGAAAACAAGCCAGAAACTGTCAAATGATTTTTTCTCGCATGGATCTATAATCAACACCCTTGGCACCAGCAGCCAGGAAATCAAGACATATTGTATTGGGCAAGTCTACAGTCAGGGAGCGCTCCAAAGTGCTGTAGAGCAATGATGTCAATTTGATGACTGACATGCCCTAAATTCAAGTCATTATCTTTTCATTCAATTGCTATGCATCTGAGAGCTGAACAATGAATAAGGATGACAAGTAGAATTGATGCCTTTGAGTTGTGGTGCTTAAAGAGTACTCATGGGCTGCCCAAAGGGCAAGTAAATATGTCTTAGAAAAGGTACAATCAGGGTGCTCTGTGGAGGCGAGGATACTGTAGCTGTCTCACATGCTTCGGGCATGTTGTGAGGGGGGGCCAGGGCCAGTCCTTGGAAAAGGACACCATGCTCGGAAAGGTGAAGAGTTGGGGGGTGGGGGAAAGACCCTCAAAGAGATGGATTTGATATGATTGTAAGAGGGGACTTGAGTACGTCAAGAGATGATGAGGATGGCACAGCACAGCACCGGATTGAGATTCATTGTTCAAAAGGAGCTATGAGTCAGTCAACTTGATGGGAAGGAAAAGGGGCATAAAGACTGGTTAGTAAATAATCAGGGTGAAAGAGAATAGAAAATGAGGGTGTAATTAGATATTATAATTAGTTAATTATATCAATCAACTGTAATTGATGTTATAAAACAAAATAAGTATGAACAACTGAATGAAAAACCAATGTGATTTGTGTAAACTTTAACTCAAAAAATTTTTTAAATAAATTGTGTGTGTGTGTGTGTGTGTGTGTACACTGTTAAATCGGATTCAACTGGTACAGGAGGACAGTGCCCTTCCTTCTCCAGCAGTAAGCTACTCAAGCATAGGGAATGTTCTTAGTAACTCCTGCACTCACATGGTAGATATTTGACCAGCAATATTAACAAATTAAGGAGAAGCAAAGTTGAGCTGTTTCTTTAATAATGCTTACCTTACTAACATTTTGTTAAATTTTTATTTATATGCCATAGGATCCAAATTTGATTTCTCTTAAAATAAAATCAAACACTATCACTCACTTAGGTCCAAACTATTTCCAAGACTCAAATGTAAAAAGACGGCACAGGCCAAATGCTTTACATCTCACCTGCTTCTCTCCTTTCCTCTTTCTAGTGACTACCAGAACACCATTTAAAAAGCTACATGGATAAATATATTCATGCAGAATTCAACTCAGATATTTTGGGAAATGTTTTATTCACATTTGCAAAATCCAGCAAAAAGAAACATATATTAATACATATTTAAATGTATGTCGCTATTGTCACATGCTATTGAGTTGGAACCAAGTCACTGCTGACCAGCTCTCACTTTACCTGGTCTTAAATTTAATTATCAGTCTGGCTCACTTTACATCCATATGTCCATTCAGGCAACACCTGACTGCACGTACATCCATGTGTCATGTCACTGTGTTACCTGAGTGCCTCATCTTGAGCTTGGAGACTCAACTTTTGTTCAACTGGGCACAAGGCCCAGAAGCCACATCGTCTGTAGTGATGAAAGAATAAGACCACACTGGCAGCCCTTGTTCTTGTGGCTCCTGTGACTCAGCAGCTCCAGTCCCCACTTTCTACTCAGTGTGCTCCCCTTCGTCCCGTTGGCCTGAATTTCCCCTTCCTGGGCAGTCTCCCCCAGGTGAGCTGGCCTTCTCTGATACTGGCTTAGAGAAGGCTGCCCAGCCAGGCAGGATGTGGTAGAGTGCTCATCTGAGGCGGCAAGAGCTTCTTTGGCCACCAGGCCAGTGGGATCCAGCCAAGAGCTGTTCTAAGATACAGGTAGGGTTGGCCAGGCTGAGCACTGCATAGCAGCTCCTGGGCCAGAGCACCCAGCTGGCCCACATCCATGGACACATCCAAATCACCTAACATCCTATGTCACAAAACATATCATGGATATTAAGCAGTGCATACCTGTACATATTTCCATCTTTACTGGTTAGATACAAACATGTATTTAAATTTAAGACTAAGTAAAGTGAAGATGTTCTTTTTTCTTTAGGAAAAAGTCACTGCCACTACCCGGGCTAGTGCTTACTAGATAGGGTCATGGCCCAGTAGGCCAATCAAGCAGTGGCCTGACAATGATCATAAGAACAGAATTTTTTCAACTTGTCAATGATTTTCAAGTCCAGAACAATTTCAGTCCATGTCTTGTTTATCTACTGATGAAGGATTTCTAGGAAGATTTAGCAGAGCTTCAATTTTCTTAGCATCCTCCTCAGAAGTATTCTTCTGTAAGTTACTTTCAATGTCTTCAGGGAGGAACTCAGTAATGTGCAGCCTGGATTTCCTGTAATTAAAGGATAAAAAAGAGAGATTGAGTATGGTTCCATTTCTTTAGTTCTTATAGTAATCGGAAAAAAGGGAGAGGGATCATATTCTTAGTCTCCCTACTTTTGTTTGACAACTCATGAGCCAATTCTGACACTTGCACTTCAAATATATGACTTTTCTCTCTCTCCTAACCTGTTCCTAACCTGTACCTAATCCTAAGATATTACATGACACTGGGTCCAATAGTTGCAACTCTGGGCCTCAAAGTGACATTAAGGGGCCAAAATACCCTGCACTGAGGTATTAGCCTCACTGGCTGGCTTCCACTTGTCTCAGGGCTCTCAAGGAAGGACAGGGTGTGCATCTCTGTTAAATTTTCTGTTGCCACACTTTGTAGGAACAGAACAAAAGCTATAAAAGTATTAACCTAAAAATAAAAAAGAAAAAGTAACCTAAGTAGCAAAAAGACAGAGAGGATAGCACTAAATATGTATATTTATGAAGACATAATTTCCAAATAATAGGTTCGTTCTTTTTCTAGGCTATTAGTACTTGTGTTTTCCTTACACAATCAGATTTGTCTTTCTTTTCTATCTCTACAGCCAGATTTCTGTATTTCTGTGTTGTTGCTGTTACATGCCATTGAGTTGCTTTCAACTCATAGTGACCCTATGTCCAATAGCTCTGAACCTTGCTCTATCCTAAGCAACCTTATCATCTCTAACACACCTACCCCCATTACCCCAAGCACTGAATCAATACATCTCATCGAGGGTTTTCCTCTCTTGCACTGTCCCTTCACCCTCTCAAACGTGATGTCCCTCTCCAAGACTGACTGCAACATGCCCAAAGTATGTCAGACGAAGCCTCAGAATTCTTGCCTCCAAGGAGCAGTATGGTTTCACCCTCTCTAAAATGAACCTGTTTGTTCTCCTCGCAGTCCAGGGTTTAATCAATACTCTTCTCCAGCACCACAGCACAAAGGCATCAATTATATCATGCTGTAAGGAGAGACCGGTCCTTGGAGAAGTGGAGGGCAGGCATGACTGGGAGAGTGGAGAGCAGGCGCAGGAGGGGAAGGACCTCTAGGAGATGGATTGATTCAGTGACTGGGGTAATCGGGATGAATGTGTCGGAGACAATGAGAGTGGCACAGGACAGAACAGAGTTTAGGACTGTTGTACATAGGGTCACTATAAGTTGCAAGCGACTCGACAGCACATAACAACAACATCATCCCTATTGTACATAGGGTTTTTGAAGACCTGTTATTTCGGAAGTAGATGCCAATCTTTCTTCCTAGTCTGTCTTAATTTTTTTTTTTTATAATAGTATCTGACAGACAAGCATTTACAGAAAGGAGCAAATGAAAGACATTTACCCAATTAGAGAAATGACTTACAGATTCAGTGTTGCTCCCCACCCTTGCCACATGTGTCTTGACCCACCCCTTTCTCTGCTCCACCGACATCCCTTTCTACTTCTGCCTACACATTCAATACCTCTCTCCCCTTAACCAGTCCTTAATACGCAGAACAGATCAAGTTCGTTCTGCAGAGGGTGAAGCCAGGCAAGGATTCTGAAGCTTTGTCTACTCTGGACATATTGCAAGGCAGGATCAGTCCTTGGAGAGTGATGTCATGCATGGGAGGGTGGAAGGACAACACAGAGAGGAAGACCCTCGATGAAATGAAATGATTAAGTCACTGTGATAATAGGGATAGGTGTGTCAGAGATGATAAGATTGGCAAGAGATAGAGCAGGGCTTAGGGCCATTGTACAAAGGGTTGCTATAAGTCGCAGAGGAGTCAATGGCACATAACACCAACATTATCCTTAGGGAGCTCTGGTGGCCTAGTAGTAAGAAGCTGCGCTGCAATCCCAAAGGTAAAGTGGTTCAAGGCCACCAGCTGCTCTGCTGGTGGATGGGCAATCTCCTCCCATGTGATTACTTGCCTCTGAAAATCCACCAGAGGGTCAGCTATGAGTAGGTTCTAACACAATGGTACCCAACAGCAAATATCCTTAGCAATAGGTATTTTTACCAGCATCTAGGTTAGAGTTTTATCAGAGCCAAAACAACATGGAGTCGGGGGAGTATCCAGTGTGGCCTCTTAAACCCATTACTGCGGGGAAAGAAAAAAAAACCAACTCAACTTCAGGCCATTTTAACCTTTGGTAAAAGTGAAAGGAAATACCCAACTCCCTTTCTCTCTACACTTCCCATCTCATCTAAAGTTAATTTTAAAAAAAAAAAAAAAAAGGCAGAGCAGTATTGCGAAGGTCCCAGCCCAAGAGCACTGAAAGACTTAAATTTAACCATAAGATCAGTTTCCCATTCCCTGAACCGTATTGCCATGTCAATAGGGCTCCTGCATAACAAGGGGTTACAACTAAGAAAACTTGGAGGCTCATACCTTATTTAAAAATCCACCCTTAGAAGCATTAAAAAAAGAAAGAAGGCGTATACAGAGTCACTGTACCAGAAGGAATTGGCTGACACAGAAGAATTTCATGAAATAATGTATGAGCAAGAGCCTGTAGTAATGAGCAGGAAGTTTAAGTCGCTCTCAAAGAATTGGCAAAAAACAAGGCTCCAGGAGTTGACAGCATACCAATTGACATATTTCAACAAAGAGACACTGCCGTGGATGTGCTCACCAAGTTGTACCAAGAAAATGGAGGACAGCCACCTGACCAACTAACTAGAAGAGATCAATGTTTGTTTCCATTCCAAAGAAGGGTGACCCAAAAGAGTGTGGAAATTATCAAACAATAACATTAGTATCACATGCAATTAAGATTCTGCTGAAAATTTTCCAAAAACGACTGGAACAACATGTCAACAGAGAACTGCCAGATGTGCAGGCTGGATTTGGAAGAGGCTGTGGTAGTAGGAATTTTATAGCCAATATTAGATGGATCTTGGCAGAAAGCAGAGAGCAGCAGACTATGCAAAGGCTTTTGATTGTGTGGATCACAAGAAACTGTGACTATGAGAAGAATGTGAGCCCCAGAACATTTGATTGTGCTTTTGCGAAACCTATAGTTGAACCAAGAGGCAGTCGTCAGAACAAAGCAAGGAGACACTGCATGGTTCAAAATTGGGAAAGGTGTCTGGCAGGGATGTATTCTGTCTCCATATCTTTTCAATCTGTATGCAGAACAGATCATCCGAGATGCTGGGCTGTACGAGGAGGAATGTGGCATCAGGATTGGTGGAAGAGAGTCATCAACAACCTGAGTTATGCAGAGGACACAACCCTGCTTCCTGAAACTGAGGAGGGACTGAGGGCTTGCTGCAGAAGGTCAAGGACTGCAGCCTTCAATACGGATTTAAGCTCAACATCAAGAAAACAAAGATTCTCACCACTGGGCAAATTGGCAGTATCATTATGGATGGTGAAAAGATTGAGATTGTTAACAGTTTTAGTTAGTTTGGTTCAACAATCAACATTCTCGGTACCAGCAGTCAGGAAAACAAGAAACTAACTGCACTGAGAAAGTCAGCTGTCAGGGACCTCTTCAGAGTAGTGAAGAACAACGATGTCAGGCTAGAGACTAAGGTGTGCTGGATTCGGGCCATAGTCTTCGCAGTTGCATGCTATGAGAATTCATGCCTTTGAGCTGTGGTGCTGGAGAAGAGTATTGAATATACCATGGACTGCTAGGAGAACAAACAGGTTTGTCCTGGAGAGGGTAAAGCCGGGCTGCTCCTTGGAGGCAAGGCTTCTGAAGCTTCGTCTGACATACTTTGGACATGTTACAAGGTAGGACCAGTCCTTGGAGAGGGACATCATATTTGGGAGGGTGGGGGGATAGCGCAGGAGAGGAAGACCCTCAATGAGATGGATTGATTCAGTGATTGCGGTAATGGGAGCTATGTCTGAGACAGTGAGGTTGGCATAGGATAGAGGAAGGTTTAGGGCTCTATAAGAGGATCATAGGATCGCTATGAGTCACAAGAGACTTGACAGCACACAACAACAACAACAACAGTGGATCCCACAGACAACAAAGAAGACCATAAGACCAGGGGAAAGTTTAGCATATGGCAACTACAGTAAACAACAGGCACAGCCTCGCTTCTACAGAGAACAGCACAACCTCACACTAAAGGCCTTCTTAACCTTAGGAGTGGAGGAAAAACTAAAAAAAAAAAAAGACAATGCAATACATATTTTAAAAAGTCCAGCTTTCAAGACAAAAAATTAACAAACATATTAAAAGTCATGAAAACCAACTTAACAAAATACTGTGTGAATATAGTAAGTATTTGAATCAGATCTAGATATAATAAAGATTATTAAGTTATCAAACTTGGAATTTAAGACATCTATACTTTGAGCACGTTGTTATAAGAGGCTATTCCTTGGAGAGGGGTATCATGCTTAGAAAGGTAGAGGGTTAGCAAAAGAAAGGAAACTCATTTGTTGAGAAGACTCTCAAAACAGTGACTGCAGCAATAGCCTCAAGTATCTCAGATATGATGAGAATGGCACAGGATAGGATAGGGTTGCTATGAGTTGTATTCGATTTTACAGCACCTAACAACATTATTAATATAGTTTATATGCTGGTTTGAGTGTACAGCAGGTTTGAGGGCTCAGGGCAATTTTGGTGTTCTTTGGGCCCCACGTGGGGGTCAGCAGAGCGGACATGCCAGATGAACAGGGGGTCTGATGGAAGGACTTTGCCAGCATTTGGGCGTGCTGGGTTGGTAAGACCCTGAAGGGCCCAAGGGCAGTCTTTCATTGTTTTTGTTCAGACATTCCTCTAGGTCATATAACCCTGGTGTACAAGTTTCCAGACAGCGGTAACTTGTGGTTGCTGTGAGGCTGAACACTGTGACACTGATGTGTCAAATGCGTTAATGGCTGGTTACCCAATGCAGACAGAGAGTGAGTAGTGTGGAGCTTCCCGATTAAAACAAGTTTGGAAGAGTGACACCCACTTCCGTAAACAGCTTGCCTCCGGAAACCCTATGAACCTGGAGAGAGGATGAGAGACACCCAAGCGTTGAGGACTCTCCTTCGTAGGGTCGCTATGAGTCGCCTGCGACTCGACGGCACTTAACAACAACAATAACAACATGTGTGTTGTTAAAGTCAAGACAGAAGGAATACACAGAGTCAATGAATTAAAAAGAAGTGGCTGACATGCAACCATTTTAGGAAGTAGCATATGATCAAGAACCAGCGGTAATTAAGCAAGAATTTAAAGCTGCACTAAAGACACTGGTGAAAAGTAAGGCCCCAGGAATTGATGGGATATCAACTGACATTTCAACAAACACATTCAGCCTTGGACATGCTCATCAGTCTATGCCAAGGAATCTAGAAGACAACTGACTAGAAAAGAATAATATTTGTTCTTATTTCCACAAAAAAAAAGGTAATCTAATACAATGTGGAGATTATTAGACAATATTATTAATATCACATGCCAAGTAAAATCCTGCTAAAGATTATCCAAAATGGTTAGAACAGCAAAATCAACGGAGAACTGCCAGAAATTCAAGCTGGATTCAGAAGAGGACTTTGGAATGAGAGATATCATTGCTGATGTTAGCTAGTTCTTGGTTAAAAACAGAAAGATGTTTACTTCATTTTTTTTTAATTATGCAAAGAAATTAAACTGTGTGGATCACAACAAATTATGTATAAGATTAGGAAGAATGAGAATCCCAGAACACTTTAATTGTGCTCATGTGAAAACTATACCCAGACCAAGAAGCTGCTGTCTGAAAAGATCAAGGGAACAATATGAAGAAATATCTGTGTTAAGGTTGTATCCTTTCTCTTATCTATTCAATCTGTATGTTGAACAAGTCATTAGAGAAGCTGGACTCTATGAAGAAGAAAGAAGCATCAGGATATAAGGAAGACTCATCAACAACCTGTATTATGTAGAGGACATAACCTTCGTTGCTGAAAGAACGAGGATTTGATGCACCTTCAATGTAGATTACGTCTCAACATTAAGAAAATAAAAATCCTTACCACTAGGCCAAAAGGCAACATCATGATAGATGGAGAATGAAAAGGAATAGTCACAAATAAAAAAAAGGAATAGAAATGCTGAGTGACTTGAATGGGCTCATGAGTAGACTGGACACTGCCAAGAGAAGACTTGTAGGCTTGAAAAGATGTTAATACAAACCTCCTTCAACAATTTAGATCCTCCCAGAAGAGCTGTGGATGAGCATTAACATTACTGGTAAGTATATTCGTTTTCTCCTGGACACAAGAGCCTACTATTTGGTCCTAAGCTTTCTGAGGTCCCAACTCATCACACTATTTCTTAGTTGTTGGAATTGACAGAAAACCTCATAAGCAGCTCCTTACTTCACCTCTGCCTTGCATGGGGACTTCTGAGCTATAAAACAACCCAGTGGTAGATGGAATTTGGTCCAAGACTTAAGAACAATAAATGACATAGTTGAGTCTCTACATCTTTGTGGTTCCTAACCTTTATACTATAATAGACAAAATGCTAGTCAATAAGCCTTTTATTTTAAGAACTAACTTCCCTCTGTAACTTGATTTGTGCCACTATTAGAAGCTCTACTTGGAATATTATTGCTTTTTAATTTTTGACTCATGTACTTTTAACTTGTTAGTTAAATTTGTGTCTTCTAGGCTGCAACACTTCCATGATACATCTTCAAGGATATGAACATGTACGGCTAAGCACAACTGATAACAATGCATCTAAATTCCAAAATCAATCTCCACAATAGTCTACGTGTTTCCTATTGCCAAAGGGGCCCTTTAGAGTAGTGAGAGAAGATCTTCACCCTGAAACCTACAGCATCCCTTTTCAGCAGGAAGTAGCTAGCTAAGAGAATACGCCGTCCCCTTTTCCTTATGAATCAGGGTGAAGTCTCTCTCAGGGAGGAGTGAAAGGTAATGGCAAAGGACACAATGACAAAGGAGATTAATCAGAACTGGCTTTGACAAGCACTGTGGCAACTGGACAATTAAAACAGACTTTCATAGGGGGAAAATAAAAGAGGAACGAACTGGGGGGTAGGGTAGATAAAATAGTGCAACAATGAATGAATGGAAACGCAAAATCTCTGTAAATGTTCATTAAAATTAATAAAATTTAATTAAAAAAAAGAAACCTCCTAAAATGAAAAGGAAAGAAAGAAAAATGGAATTGAATATCCAAGAATCGTTAATATCAATTATAAAATATGACAAACGCATACTAGGAATACTAAGAGAAGAACGAAGAAATAAATAGAAAAAAAATTAAGTAAAAAAATGGTTAGGAATTTCCAAATTCTTACATCTCTTGGTTAAATGATCTTTGGTTTTGGTGATTTTCTCTATTTCTTATTTTCAACTTAACTGATTTCTCTATAATTTTTAATTGACTCAACCCCAATTTACAGTGACCCTATCAACAACAGGGCATTTTTATGGTAGTGAAACTGTTCTGTATGATACAATAACGGTAGAAACATGATAGTATGCTTTTGTCAAAACCCATGTAACTGAACACTACAAAAAGAGTGACCATAATATAATCTATGGATTTTAATTAATAATAATGTGATAATACTCGTTCATTAACTATAACTTTCTCATTGCCATCATGGTGGTACCAATTCATAGCTGGCCCTCCAGCTAGTTCTCAAGGGGGCTGTAATTCACACAAGAAAACACTGCTCATCTTTCTCCCTCAGCGCTACTGGTGGGTTCAAATCACCTGAGATGCATGGCCTTTGGATTAGTGCAACTCCCTGTGGACTACACCATCAAAGTTCACTAATCACAATAAAGGCACCATGATAACATGTTACTGAAGGGGAAAACTGAATACAGGGAGAACCCAGTGACAGAGTTCTAAAAAGTTAAGTCTATTGTTTAAGGAAGACAGTCAGTGAGAAGGATGGACAGGGACTGCAACAAAGGACTTTTGCATGGTGTTGATCATGAGATGGTGTGGAACTGAGCAAGGGTTCCACCTACTGTTCACAGGTTATGAGCTGGAAATCTACTCAATGGCACTTAACATAACAACGCTGCTTAAGGACTCAGTAAAAATAAACTTTTGATTTAGTAGCCATTTAGAATATTTATGGCTAATAGGTCACTACTATTTAGGAAGTTCTGGTGGCTTAGTAGTAAGGAGTTGCACTGCCAACTCAAAGGCAGGCAGTTCAAATCTACCAGCTGCTCAAGGGAGAAAGATAGTAATTTTCTCCAGGGAGAAAGATATCTTCTCCCATGTAATTTACTGCAGCTGGAAGGCCGCTGCAAGGTCACCTGCGTGTTATTTCCAACTTGAAAGCACATAACAATAATAAAGGGATTAAAAAGTCAAATTCCTCAGTTTTATGCTTCTTACCATTCCTCCAGTTTGAGGTCATGAAGTATCTTTCGATCCTTCTGTTTTCTCTCTTGAATTGTCTCACCATAGTACTTCTGAAGTAACATCATGAGGCTTCCTACAGGGGTGCTAAGGGGAAAGCAGAGGAAAAGTTTAAGAGAAAAAGCCAGTTGATCAGCAACGTGGAAAATCTCGGCTAAGGCATGAGGATGTGTACAGAGCCATCTGTTCATGAACAGGTAAGCAAACACGAAAATTAAAACATACTTGTAAAATAAGAAAAGATTCTGAGGCACTATTCTTCCTGGTCTGAACAACAATCATGAAAATCTCTAAAGTTAATTGGTAATAACAATAACAGAGCTATAAATAAACCTATAAATTGGCTTTAAAAAAAACAACAAACCAACCATGAAGAATATGCAAGGAGAAGGAGAAAAATATGTATTTCTCAAGCTCTAGCAAAAAGCTTCTATGCTATAACTTTCTAGGAAATCAATGGTTTGAAATGGTTCCAGCTAGGGAGGAAGAGATGCTTCTGATTTAGGATGGTAAGACTACCAAAACATGCTAAAATTTAAGAGTCGAGAGCTCTAGTGGCCTAGTGGCAAGAAGCTGCGCTGCAATCCTGAAAGAACATGGTTTGAATCCACCAGATGCTCTGCTGGAGAAGGAGAGGCCATTTCCTCCTGTACCAGTCAGATCCAATTTGACAGTACACAAACATAAAAATAATAAAACTGAAAGAGTAATAATAATAAAACTTAAGAGTCTGGTACAACCATTATAACCAATATGGGGAAAAGTCACATCCACTGAGAGATTCATTTAGATTAAAATTATTATAGCAATACTAGTCCCTATTTTCTCAAAGAGAATGAATATGATAATAAAGTAAATATCCCTAACTTTAAAAATTATTTTTTGCTAAATTCAACTTTTCCCTTCAAATCAAGTCACTTTATTAATAATGTTGTTCTTTTTGTTATGTACCACTGAGTCAAAATCAACTCGTAGCTGACCCTCCAGCAGGTTTTCAGAGGCTGTAAATGAAAGAGAGAAAAAATGCCCATCTGTCTCCCATGAACCATGCGTCTTTGAGAATAAGTCTTTACCACGAAGCCATCAGATCTCAGTATAGGACAACTAAAATAATGTCAACAGTAGAAATAATCTATTGAGACTGGAAAAAAGAAAATACCATAAATATCTCATTAAAAACTGGGGTGGATAAGGGTTCCAATCTGCTGGTGGGAGTGTAAAATGGTTCAACATTTCAGTAAACTTTCATTAAAATCACAATTACAATAAAAAAAAAAATTAGGGTAGGCAGATGGAAGGAAAGGCAAAGCTCTCTAATTTTTTAAGAAAAGCCAACCAGTAAGGAGAATGACGGCACTACAAATCAACATTTTATATTCACCTTTTAACCACAGCCAAGGCATTAATGAAAATAATGTCAATTTAGAATAGAATTATGTTAACACTCACCCCAGCAAGGCTCCAATTATACCACCAGCCACCAGACCACGCAGGCCTAAGTTTATTCTGAAAAGGCTTCCTGTGACAGCTATTTAAAACAAAGTCAGTATTAAGCCGTCTTTAAATACAAGAATTCCATTTTTAAAAATTTCCTTCTTAGAAAAAGGACACAAAGCCTAAGTAGGCTTCATGAACTCAGTATTAAAATAACATCATAGCCTGAATTTCCTGAATCTAAAATGACTATATACTCTTTGTGCAGATTTAAATGAAAAAATACCCCTTTACCAAAAGTAGCCAGTGTTGTGAAGTCAATTTCAATTCAGAGTAGAACTGTACCATAAGGTTTCCAAGGCCGTAAATCTTTATTGAAGTCAACTGCCTCATTCTTCTCCTGAGTGGCAGCTGGTGGGTTCACAACGCTAACTTTTTGGTTAGTAGCTAAGAACTTTCTCCAGAAAGCTAAGGCCTCAATATATCCATCCAGTAGATCTAACATCTTAATCCGCTTCATTTTTGCCCACACTCCTTAAAAATCTGTAATTTCTTCACCTCTACTGCTTTCTTTTCTTCCTTCAAGAAAATCTTTCCATAAGTAAAAACAAAACAAAAACCCCCCAAATGCCTTCTGCCAGGCTCCAAACTGGAAGCATATAGTCTACATTGCCACCTGGTGGCCAGCACGCGGAATCTTTTTATTCTACATGTGGGGCACAGATGGGGCAATCTCCTCCAGTGACTCTGAAAACCCGCTGGAGGGTCATCTATGGCTCAGCTCTGACTAAATGGTACACAACAACAATAGTAGCATTTATTAGGGAGCTCTGTTGACCTAGTATTAAGAACCAGTGCTAGGGGAGCTCTGGTGGCCTAGTGGTAAGGAGCTGCAACTACAATCCCAGAGCTGCACGGTTCAAATCCACCAGATGCTCTGCCGGGGAAGGAGGAACAATCTCCTCCTGTACCAGTCAGACCTGATTTGACGGTACACTCACACAAAAATAATAAAATAAAATAAAAAATAAATAAAAATTAAAAAAAAAAGAACCAGTGCTACAATCTCAAAGGCATACCGTTTGAACCCACCAACTGCTTTGTGGGAGAAAGATGGGCAATCTCCTCCCATGTGATTTACTACCTCTGAAAATGCTGAAAAGGTCTTAGTATATATTAATTTTTCCTTAAAATTCTAAATTACAAGAATAAAAAATGATCTTTAATCCTACTGCCCAGAGACAATAATAAACTTGGAGTATATATAGCTAGTCTTTCCCCCACCCCAAAAATACAGTATTTATAAAAATCAAATTAGAGCCATGTTGTACCTGCTGAATTTTTATTTTTATGTATCAATTCTGTATCATTAAAGTTCTTCACAGTTCTACTGCATGGATATACCACAATTTTTTTACCAACATTTTTTCTATTTGTGGTTGTTTTAAGAAAACATGTGATTATAATCCTTATACATTAATTTTTCTATAGATTTGTTTCCTTAAGATGAACTTCTAGGTCAAAGGATATAAACATTTTTAACACATTGTTGAACACTTTTAAATTGATGATCGTGCTTAGAAACACATTTTTTTTCTGTGTATTACTGAATAATTAACAAATAAATGCATTAATACACTTCATACCAATGATGTTCCTTTTTTAATTAAAATGTGCATGACACCTATAGCCATCATTTGCGGCAACATGTAAAGATTTTTATTTAAACCACTAGGCTGTTATCCAAAAGAGACAAATTTTTCAGTAAAAGCATGAGTTTCTGTTCTTGTGCATCCTCTATTTTTCTTCTCAGCTGGAGAGGGCAGCTACGGTTCCTAATTTCAACTTGGATTTCTCTGATTAATAACAAAATACTGTTAGCTTTGTTTCGACCTTCGGTTTCAAAACTAGCTGTATTATTTCTGTGAATTAAAAATTCCTATCTTTTGTCCAATCTTCAAGTGAGGTGTCTTTGTTTTTCTGATATGAAGGGGCTTCTATTTGTCACCTGCACATAACACTTTGTTATTGATATTAATATCTCCAATGATATGGAGTTATTTTCAACTTGACAGTAACTAATAACAGCACTGTTTTTATGACATAGGCTTAATTTTAAAAATTTTATGAGGTCAAATATCTTCATTACTGTCTAGGTTATTTTTTTTAATAGGGAAGAGCACAAGCACAGTTCCCCACCACCACAAATTATGCAGTAGTTTCCCACATTTGGGGAAATTATAGCAGTCAGCACATCCAGAGTGCAATGGATAAGCCTCGTTTACTTTTATATTTTAAAGGTATCTATCTGTATATTTATCTTTTTATTCATAGATCAGTTACATATCATGTACAGTAAATCTTATTCACAAATTTCACATTTTTTAGTTCACCACTACAATTTAATTGTAACCTTAAAAATCAATACATGGGGAGCTTTAACTATCATTAGCAAACAGGTTCAGAGAAACAAAAAATCTTAGTTGCATGATATGGACATTCACTCTGAAGTTAAGTTACTCAACTCATTCACTGCCAGAGCATTGGAATCAATCTATAGCTGACCCTTCAGCAAGTCTCTGAAGCTGCCATATCTTCTTATTGACTGACCCTTTTAGCATTATAAAATGTCCTCCTTTGTCTCTGATAACAATTTTTGGCTTAAAATCTATCTTGTCTGATATTACTATAGTCATTCCAGTCTCCTTTTTCTTATTTGCCTGGTGTATATACTTTCCATCTTTTTACTTTCAACCTATATGTATCTTGAACCTAAAGCATGTCTCTTACAGACAAAAAAATAGTTAAATCTTATTTTTATTTCTACGGCTTAACTCTGTGAGATTGCCCATCTTCCTCCCACATAGCAGCTGGTGGATCTGAATCTTGTGCCTTTGAGTTGGCAGCTCAGCTCCTTACCACCGGGTCCCCAGAGCTTCCTTCTGACTCACAGTGACCCTCTATTGGGCTTCCAAGGCTGTAGATCTTTACAGGAGACTGCTCATCATTTTCTCTCAGTGAAGCCTGTAGATTTGAACTACTTCCCCTATCATTATTGTTGTTGTTATTATTATGTACCATAGAGTCAGAACCGATCTATTCCTGACCCTCAAGCAAGTTTTCAGAGGCAGTTATTCACATAAGAGGAAACTGCCCATCCTTCTCCTGGTGGCCTCAAATCGCATGCCTTCAAGATTGCAGCACAGCTTCTTGCCACTAGGCCACCAGAACTCCCTCAATATGTGTGCACCATATCTTTACTCATTTAAACCAAATTTAATGTCACTGAGTAGATTCCTACTTGTGCCAACCATCTATCAGATTTTGAAGGTTGTAAATCTTAAAGGGAAATTATAACCTATCTTATTCCCTAAGGGCTACTGGTGGATTCAAACTGATGGAGACACTAGGCCTTTTGGATAGTAACCACCACACTAGGGACTGCACCACCAGAGTGTCTTTACTTGTTCTTGTTAGGTGTCTTCAAGACAATTACAACTCATAGCGACCCTAGGAACATAATATCTGAAACCTGCCCTAACCTGTGCCATCCTCATCACCTCTGTGACCCTAATGGCTTTTCTCCCTTTGCTGACCTTTCACTTTTCTGAGTATAATGTCTTTCTCTAAGAAACAGCCCCTCTTAACAACATGCCCAAAGTATGTGAAGTGAAGTTTCACCATATTTCGCTTTAAACATCTTGCCTGTACTTTCTGCAAGACATATTTGTTCAACCTCCTGGCAGTTCATGAGATACTGAGTGCTCTTCTCTAGCACCACAAATCAAGGCACTGATTCTTTTTTTTGTCATCTTTATTCAGTTTCCAATTCTCAGATATATAGCAAATAGCTGAAAAGACAATGGCTTAGCTCAGGTTCACCTTTGTCTGCAAAGTAACATCCTTGCTCTTCAGTATACTGGTGAGGTCCCTTACTGCAGATTTTCCCAATGCAACAAGTCTTTTGATTTCTTGACTGGTACTAAGATTGTTGATTGTGGATCCATGTAAATTAAATAACTGACAATTTCTTTTCTCCACCTCTCATGATGTCTGTTGGCCCTATGGTGAGGACTTTTATTTTCTTGATGTTGAGATGCAATCCATACTGAAGGCAATAGTCCTTGATCTTTTGCAGCAAGTGCTTCAAGTTCCCCTCACGTTCAGCAAGTAAGGCTCTGTCAGCTGCATAATGCAGGCTGTTGATGAGTCTTTCTTCAATCCTGATGCCACATCTTCTTCAAAAAGTCCAGCTCTAAAAAAAAAAAAAAAAAAGTCCAGCTCTGATGCATACCTTTTTTTAATCCATGTAACATTCCTCTCTGATCCAACAACAGCTTCCTCGTCTATGTATAGGTTTCACATGAGCACAATCAATGGTTCTGGAATTTCCATTCATTTCAGCATTACCACAATTTGTTAAGATTCCCAAAGTCACATGCCTTTGCACAGTCAATAAAACATAGTAGATGTCTTTCTGGCACTCCTTCCTTTCAGTCAAGATCTATCTGACATCAGCAACAATAAATATTCCAGGTGTCAGAGCCTCTTCTAGATCCAGCTTCAATCTCTGGCAGCTCTCTGCTGATGTACTTGTCAAGATCTTACTGGCATGTGTTACTATCAATCTTGTTCAATACTTTCCACATTCTTCTGGGTCACCTTTTTTGGAAATGGGAACAAATACAGATCTCTTTCAGTCTGTTGAGTAAAGAGTGCTTTTATTAGTGCTCTTTAATTATTTTTGTTTATCCATTTTACTATCTGGTTTCAGCTTCTTTCAGACTGAAGAACTTGCCTGCAATTCATGCTAACCCTATGCTCTGAACATTGCTCTGTCCTGAGCCAATCTTACTGTCTCCAACATACTTATCTCTATTACTCCAGTTACTGTGTCAATCCATCACATCCCAGATCTTCTTCTCCTGCACTGACTCTCCACCTTTCCAAAAATGATGCCCTTCTCCAAGGACTGGTCCCTTCTGGCCACAGGCCTAAAGTAAACAAACTGGTCCCAATCTCTCTGGGACAGACCTGTTTGTTCTCTTGGCAGACCATGGTCTGTTCAATACTATTCTCCGGCACCACAGCTCA